AAGCTTAATTAAATATGCATGTATGTACATACCGATTTTAAAGAAAATCTAAATACCTAAATACATACATATGTACGCTGATTTATAAAAATTTTAATTAATTTTAACCTTTTAAGACATTTTCTGATTTCAATTTAATATAAATAAGTATGTACTTATCTAGGCATTCTACATTAGTTTCTCTGTAAGGCATTCTTTGTTCGCTTCTCTGGATTCTGTTTATCCATGCGTTCTCCCTTCGTTTGAAGGTAATGCTGCGGGTAAGGGCTTACCTCCAATGACATGCCCATGTTAAAATAAGGCCTTCTTGAAGCGAAACGGTAAGCGATTCCATCGCCTAGCTCGTTTCCACTTTCGTTTCTGTGGTAATCGTGTTTTTTGCTGGGTAGTAAAGCTGACGAAATTAAGTTCTGGGCCATGAGAAATAATATATCCCGAATTGCCGTGGACGATCTTCTGCAAACATTGCATAGGGCAGGTGATCGCGATTTGCCAATGACAGCCAAAACACTTATGGGAACCAGTAGGAAAAAGGTTAGTGTTATACAAATACCTAATGGCGAGTTTTTGTATTGAGGGGTTCAAACTTATTTCTTGTCAGAGAGCTTAAATTTCTTAGCCAATAAGGAAGAAATTGTAATTGACATAGGTATTGATGGACTTAGGTTGTTCAAGAGCTCTAACAGAGTATTATGGCCAATTTTAGGATCTCTTTCGGATTTCCCGCATATTAGCCCCTTTGTCATTGGTTGCTTTTCTGGGTTAAGTAAACCCAAAAACATCAACGACTTCATGCGTGATTTTTGTACAGAGGCCAAATCACTTAAAGAAAACGGAATTAAAGTGGGTTCCATGGCAGTTTTAAAACCATTTAATATTCGTGTTTTTATTTGCGATTTTCCAGTCAGGGCTTATGTAACAGGAGTAATAGGTCACAATGGAAAAAACGGATGTCCTAAGTGTAGCGCAGAAAGACTTTATAAGGAGAGAAGAGTTTGCTTTCCGAAAAAGGTTGGTCTACCCAGGTCAGATAAGTCCTTCGCAATGAGAGCCAGTACTTTTCATCACCTTACTCAGTTTAAGGAAACAAAAAGTGTTTTAGAGGAAGCGGGATTCGGCATGGTTTCCCAATTTCCACTCGATTCCATGCATTTGGTGGATTTAGGCGTAGTTAAGAAATTGCTGAAACTGTTTATTACGGGTAAAAAATGCAATATTAAAAGAATCAATGATAAACTTACTTTTGTCGCACAATTTGTTCCGTCTGAATTTGGTCGTCTTCCCAGGAGCTTAGATGAAGTTTCTAATTGGAAGTCAACTGAATTTAGACAGTTTTTGCTCTACACTGGAATATTGGTTTTAAAGGATTGTATAAGTGAAGATTCTTATTATCATTTCCTGTTATTACACAGTGCTATTAGACTTCTTTCTAGTGAAAAGTCCTGTAGAAGAGAGACCGGTATTGCCCGAAAAATGTTGCAAGATTTCATAACTTTTTTTGGTACTTTATATGGCGATGAGAAAGTAAGTTTTAATATTCATGGGTTACTCCACTTGCCTGACTCTGTTGATGAATTAGGTCCATTAGACTCGTTTTCCGCGTACAAATATGAAAATTTCATGCAGCATTTAAAAAAAATTATTAAAAATCCTCATAATATACTCCAGCAATTGTTTCTGAGGATTCAAGAACGGCAAGGATCAGAAATGTATTTCAAAACTTTGAATGACTTTGGTTCATTCACTTTGGATGATAAAAAAGAGAAAGACAGCTATTTTTTTGTGAGAAGAAAGGCCCAATCAAAGTTATAAAAGTCACAAAATCAGGAGAATCAGACAGAGTTCTGTGTAGATATTTTCAGAAAATCGAGAGCTTCTTTTTGGAACCTATTACTTCGTCTTCAGGTCTGGGAATAGTGGTTACAAGTGTTTTAGCCTCGGAAACGGTGGAAATATTAAGGAATGAAATTACTTATAAGTACTTTTGTATTCCTTTTAATGAAAAGTTTTTGCTCATACCCTTATTACACCATTTGTTTCACGACTTTTCCAATTTTGCTACACATTCAAATTAAATTAAATTTTTGCTACCATTTAATATGAATATAATATAATATATGAACCATAATAATAATATGTATGATATGATCCATGATAATAATATGAACCATGCACATGGATTCAAGCAATATTCTTGATGAGTCGTTTTGTGAGGAGTCTCCAGTCGAAAGTAAGTGGAATGTATGAAAAATGTTTCATCACATAATTCCATCGTTCTTTATTTTAGTGGGCCAATCCTTTATAAAGAAGAGGTGCTACGACACCAATGTTGAAGCGGCAGGTGTAAGCCAAGTTTGCTCTCCGAGTGATGGTAAGTGCCTATTGAAAAAACTATGTAAATAACACTTACGATTTTAGTATTAATTCTTGAAAATCATTAAAGATATTAACGCGAAGCTGGACACCAATGTTGAAGAAGAGGAAGCGGGAGGTGTAAGCCAAGTTTGCGCTCCGAGTGATGGTAAGTGCCTATTTTAAAAAACTATGTAACTAACACTTACGATTTTAATATTAATTCTTGAAAATCATTAAAGATATAAACGCGAAGCTGGACATCATTCTTAATAACCAAAAAGCCATATGGGATACTTTNAGGTGTAAGCCAAGTTTGCTCTCCGAGTGATGGTAAGTGCCTATTTTAAAAAACTATGTAACTAACACTTACGATTTTAATATTAATTCTTGAAAATCATTAAAGATATAAACGCGAAGCTGGACATTCTTCTTAATAACCAAAAAGCCATATGGGATACTTTGCAGACAAGCATCAACAACATAAGTCCTTGAAATACCTCACTCTTTACAAAAGTTACATCCATACATACATATAAGTACATATGTACATAAATATATACATATACATAATAAATACATACATATGTATAAACAATATATATATTTTGTATATTTTTTTTATTTTAGCAAGCAAAGTTGTCAACAAATCAGGCGGAGCTGGAGAAGAAATTCATATCACTCCAAATGAATGTAAGTGTTGTTTTGTGAAAAATAAGAATTTATGAACATATGAGTACTCGATTTTGCAGGCAGTCGAAAACGCGGAATTTCTCGCTCTAGCGAAATCAGCACGCGAAATAAAGGTTTCGGTGCAAAATATAGAAAAGGAAGTTTGTCGTATGACGGGCGAAGCATGTGACAAAATTATGAACGAAATTGCCACCATGTTGCCCTGCTCCGCATATACCCCGATAATGGCGCTCGAGGAGAAATTAAAGGCCAAGGAGTATGTGAAAGCAATGGTAAGTAATAATAGCGAATTTAACTGATTTTATTAAAAACAACCCCCTTTCAATAGACCACATACTTGTACAAAGTCAAAGGCATGTCGGACGACGTTGGCGGTGTTTTCAAAAAGCTTTTCACCGATGAGTCCTTGGCTGAATTTAATTGGGAAGGGAGGTGGGAGAAAAAAGCCTTGAGAGAACTGACGTTATTTGAGCATGTTTTGCGCGGTAAACTAAAAAATAATAGTGTCAATAATGCATTCGTTTAAATACATTTCTTCCTTATTTAGACGTTTTCAATAAAATGACGTCCAAGGAGTTCGAGCACGCGGTTAAAAAACAAGTGGAGCGGAGTCATCATCGTCTTCATCAAAAAAAATATGACTCCAAGAAAAGCGACAAAAAATAATGTACATATGTAAATAATACATAATTACAATAATTAAATTATAATAATAATTACATAATTAATACAGGTCCGAATTTCAAACTTGGTAGAAAAATTAGAAAAAATCGACAAAATGTTACAACAACAACAAACTTTTTATTAAGATTTTCTAGAAAAATTCTATGTATGCAGTTTTATAGCCTATTAAATTCTGGCTTAAGAAAGTGCAAGTTTCAAGTAGCCATAAATTCGCGTTGATTTTTGATAATTTTTTTGGCGGATGGTGTTATTATTTTCTGTCATACAAAATAGGCTATAAAACTGCATACCTAGAATTTTTCTAGAAAATCTTAATAAAAAGTTTGTTGTTGTAACATTTTGTTAGTTTTTTCTAATTTTTCTACAAAGTTTGAAATTCGTACCTGTATTGTTTTTGTTAGATAATTAGCTGTATTTCTAAAAAAAAATTTAATTTAATTTAATTAAAATATTGGTATGCAATTTTTTCTAAGGCTGAAATTTGAACTGATATGTGAAGTAATCAGCTATACTTTATTAAAAAAAATTTACATTAAATTAACTTAAGAAAAATGGCCAAAACTTGGAAAAATGTCGCGCCCAGTTTTCATTTGGTTTACTGTATATTTATAATATGTATGAAAACCATAAAAAAGTAATAGAATAAGTAACACATTTTGAATTTTCGTCTATTTTTATTGTTTTGTAAATATGTTAACGTTAATAGAATAAGTAATAAATTTTGACTTTTCATCTAGTTTTTTAAACCTTTTTTTATACTTTTATGGCCTTATTCATAAAAAATAAAGTAGGTTTAAAAAGTTTTATAAATTGACGTTTTCATACATTTTTCAATTTATAAACCTTTTGGAAAGCTATTTTATTTTTTATGAATAAGGCTATTAGAATGGAAGTATACTGTCGCTGTCTTTCGAAATAAAGTTCTTTTACACATGTGTGTAGTTATTTATAAGTTATTTAAATATTTTTGTATGTGGAAATACACAGAAATATGAAAAAAATTTAAAATAGTTTTTTGATCTGATTGATTTATACATCAATCTGATGAATCAGACTTGACTACTTATTACATCAGTTATGATTAATCAGGGCTGATTGATTTATACATCAATTTGATTAATCATACGTGACTATTATTTACATCAGCTTTGATTGATCAGATCTGACTGATTTATACATCAGACTGAGTCATCAGATCTTAGTGAGTATTGTATCAGTTATGATGGTTAATACCTGACAAAATTGTCCATCAGCTCTTATTGGTAAGATCTGAGGAATCTTTCCATACGAGCTGAGTTGATTAAATAAGGCGAGTGAGTAGTGCAAACATATGTTGCTAATATTTACAAATACGGCTAAAACCCACATGTTAAAATGAGAGGCAAAATCACACCTACAGGAAAGTATCCATCAGATTTTTCAAAACCGCTGTAGAAACCTGATGTATAATCTGAGGGGTTAATACTCCAAGGCTGATACTCAGATGATTCATCAGTGATCACTCAGTTGTCCCGTAGGG